TTGCAAACTAGTCTAAATAACCACAAAACATGAACAAGGCCACACGTGTTATACCGGTATACAGCAGTGCTCGGATATTTGAAACCGTGTATATGCTTACTCTGTCTTGCCTAAGCATGCTTTCTCTGTCTGGCCTGCTCTGCTCGCGCCGTCAGTGGGCGAGGCGTATGCTATACGGGGTTTTTAAGGACATTCCAGGTAGAGCGTATTTTTCGTTCTTGCGTTCGAAAATTTGTTTCCAGTTATATTATTATTATACCGTACCTTCATTTGCAAGCTAGCCATAGGGAAAATACATTGTAACTGGACCAGATAAGTCTTAGTCAGCACGAAGCGAAAAACGTTGTAGAAATGATTTGGCTTTGTTTTTGTTAGGGACATATAAAACTAATTTATGATTTGGAGTTAAACAAAATTTGCTGGACTAAGGAACTCTCTTGCGGTCTGGTAAATGTTCTTGGGGAATATCCCGTTTATTTTTTCTCATTGTACCACAAAGAGTCAATCCTTTCGCCAATATAATACAAACAACTTTAACAAATGTTAAAAACATTTGAAAAATGTATTTTTTTCTGATTAACTGTGCCTTTTAATTTTAAAATTGTGCTGATCTATGGACCTATAATAATGGGAACCATCCAAATATGGTTTGATTTCGATGAGTTCATCTTTCAGCTGCTTTGCGCACTCAAAGAAATTGAAGGCAGAATTAATTATAATTTATTTGCTTTTAATTTGATTCCAAACCTAAAATATGTTGTTTTACTTAAAAAAGACAACACAAAAAATACAGGTTGATATTTTTCAACCTCGACAGAAATTGCAAAATTCAAAACTATGAGAGAATTTTTTTTTGCTGATTTAAAATTATGTAATGAGTCTTTTAGATTTCAGATATTATTATAAAATGTATGTATCGAATCGAATTCTGAACAACTTTAATTTTTTCTGTTGTCTGGATGTGTGTCTGTCTGTGAATCTGTCATCAAACTTTAAAAAATTCAAAGCTTGAAAACCATAAACGGTGGAAAGTTTAAATTTACACCCTTTTTTAACCCCCACGAGACGCACCTCTGTTTCAAATTTCGTTGGCGCAAGAAAGGTCCAAGTGTAATTTTTATCGGTTTTTTCGATATGAGATTTTCGGGCCTGCAAAATTAAAAAAAAAAATTCTTAAAAACCAAGATGAGTTTAAACAAACAAAAACACAAATGGATTTCCAAAGGATTGTTATTTAACATACTAAAAAATAAAATTCATTGATACAAATTAACATGGCCTGCTGCTCAATTCAATATTCACGGCCGCCTTGATATTACCAAGCAATTTTGTGCTATTTGACAATGGAAAGAAACTGTGGCATCACAGTTTAACTGTGTTTCTCCCGAGTAATCGATTAATAAGTTAAAACTTTTTAGTTTTTTTATATGCTATGGGTAATATCTGACCAATTTTTCTAATGGATCATCTTTCTTCGGTCAACTAGAAGAAACGAAAACAATACTAGTAACTATAACGGGAGTATGTGTAGAACAGCAACAGAGTGATATAAAACATAATTCAATATATCTTTTCAATTAACTGCTGGGCGTCAGCAAAAATCAGAGGTCTAGAATACCATCCATCTTTCTGGTTTTCCAATTTGTAAATATCAGCAGTGCTTGAAATAATATTTTGGGGCAGCTTTTCGTCCTGCTGATGATCTAATAAAATTAGAAAGTTTTTTCATATGCCTTGTCGAATTTACAGTTATCTTATGCATCATCTGAAAAAAGTACTTTTTTTGTTTTATCATTAGGCATAGAGTTTAGCACCACTCTGGAAATGCTCTCCCCGTGGATAATTCTGTTATTTTGGCAATTGAATTTAAAGGTTGAAGGTTGAAAAGAGTCGGATCTTAATTAGGATCCCGAATCTTTGTAATAATGTCCCACTAGCGGAGCGCAGCCTCACGCTCCAGTTAAGGCTTGGAAACTAGTGGGTAGTTGAGTAAAACACAATAGTCTTGTTAATACTGACTTTAATTATAAAATTGTTTCCTTATATACAAATGGGATATTTTATTTTTCATACTTATTTTACAAACATCTTAATGTTAGAAGGTTGTATTTTGTTATGTTATTGCTGACGCGGTTTGTTCGCTTAGATGACCGAAGTAGGTCAACTAAATAATAATTGTTTAATTTTAAGATTAAACATCCTGCCGGGCCAGCAAAGGATTAGGGTGGGCTGATGAAGTGGTTGCGCGAATCTCTTGGATTTTGGGATACAGTGGTTCAAGGGTCACTATTTCTTCTGGGTTGGTTGGTTTCTTCTTTGAAGTTCTCCAAATCTGTATTTGTTTTATTCCAAACCAAGTACTTATGATTAGGATGACCACTATAGCGCTAGTTATCAAGCTTGTTATGGCGGAATGATGGTGGACATTATGCCAAGTATTTTCATTAAGGCTATCCTGGATCTCTCGTTCTTCTATCATCAATTCTTCGATGTTTACAAGGTTGTCTGATGGCCTGAGTACCAGTTCTTGTTCGGAATCGTGGTGGAGTTTAATATGACGTTTTGACGTTAATAACGTCAAGTTTGCCACCACCGGACAGGTAAAGCTGGACAACACAGGGATTTCGCCTATCCGCTTCGGTGTCATCACGTTCCTGCGGGTAATAATTGTGCAGATTTGGGATACAGTCATTTCGTCTTTGGCTAATTGTTGAATTACTCTGACTGCTAGATAGGGCGCTGCCGCTGTGCCAAATGTGACTCGGGATAAGTTATACTCTTGCACCGGCTCGTAGGGATTGAAACGCCATAAAATTCTATGATACTGTGTGTCTGCTGGATGTAATATAATTTGGCGATACATTTTCTCGATGTCAGCAGTTATGGCCACCGGATAAGTCCTCCATCTTAGAATAATGTCCATTAACTCTTCTTGTAAACGGGGGCCCACATGCATCGCATTATTTAAACTTGTCCCAGTGGTTGTCTTACAGGACGCGTCGAAGACAACTCGTACTTTACTGGTGGTACTTGTTTCTTTGATGACGGCTTGATGTGGGAGATAATATTTTTCTTTTTCCTCATCTATGGATGAAACTTTCGTCATGTGTCCCATATCCAAATATTTTTGTAGACATTTGGTATATTCTTTCTTCAGCAACTCATTTCTTGATAGTCTTTTTTCTAGTTGTAAAAAACGTGCCATGGCTTGAGGTCTGGAGGATCCTAAATCGTCCTTTTTTTCATTAAAGGGTATTCTGAGCAAATATCTTCCATCTTGGTCTCTCTTTGTATTTTCGGAGAAGTGATCTTCTACTATTTGGTCTTCTTTCTTCAGAATGCGGTCGGATGTCACTTCTTCAAGTTCCCAGAATTTTTTCAGTTGTTCATCTTCTTTGTATCTGGCGGTCATGTTGACTATTTTTATGTTAGAATCTTGACTAGGATTTCCCCCGGACACTATCCATCCAAATTCCGTGTTTTGGCCAAGAAATCCATTTGCTGTTTTGTGCACTCCGTCCAGCAGTATTTTCGCCACTTCTTCAGCTCCTAGGAGGATGTCTATGGGTCCCATCTTGTTGAACGTTGGGTCAGCCAATACTTTATTCTGCCATTGTTCCATGTCTATATCAAAACTTTTTTCAGGCAGTGTCCTTGTTAGTTTGGGTAGCACTAGGAGATTTGTTGTCAACTTAAATGTACTCGGGAATCTTGGGCTACACGTAAGTGTCACTTGTTGGCTTGATGTTTTTACGTTCTCATCTCCAACACCTGATAGGTCTGTGGATACCTTTTGCCTTGGAAGGGCTAATAGGGTTGCTGCTTCTTCCGTGATCAAGGATGCTTGAGAGCCTTGATCGATGAGTACTCGTGCATACTCTATACTTCCACTCACTGTTTTGGTTTTAATGAGTGCGGTTGCTAGTAGTACTATTGGACTCTGATTCCCCACGTGGTTGCTTGCCTTGTTGTTTTGGTTGTCTACCTTTGATTGGGTTTTCTGTTCCGTCTTTTCAAAGTGCAAGAGCGTATGATGACGTCTCGAGCACACCGCACATCTTCTTTCTGATGTGCATTTTGCAGCTGCATCATGCCATAGGCAATTAATGCACAAATTTTTTTCTCTTATTGCCTGGCTCCGTGCTGTTACTGACAGGCCTCTGAACTTTGGGCAATAACTTATCGTATGTTGGTCTTGGCAAAAACTGCACACGATCTTATGCCCTTGAAATGGCTGCTGCCTCTTGTTGTGTGCTGCAATTGTCGCCGTCAATCTGGGACTGCTGGGTGTTGCCTCTAAGGATTGAAAACGGTTTCGCAAAAAGTTGATTTGATCTTCTAAACATTGAATTACCAACGGATCCTCGATAGAAGACTCATATAACCTGTTTGTTTCAGCATCCCATTTTTTCGAGATCAAACAGCTTATTATTGGACCCCATGAGTCTGTTTTTATTCCCATCAGCTCAATTGCAGCCATGCATTCACTTATGGTGTCGTGGAGTTCTTGTAGTTTTCTGGCTGATTCATGGTGAATTGGCGGGAACTCCATCATTTTATCAAGTAACTTTGTTAATATTAACCTCTTGTTATTGTACCTTTTTTTAAGCTGCTCCCATGCTGCTCCGTAATTAGCGTTTGTTATGGGAAAATGTTGAATGGCACGTGCTGCTTCGCCTTTAAGGTGAGTTTTTAGATGCTGCATTTTTTCTACGTCGGACAAGCGTCGGTTGTTGTGAATTATTTGCGTAAATATGTCTTCGAAATTGGCCCATTCCTCGTAATTACCTCCGAAAACTGGAATCTGGACCTGTGGTAGTTTGATTGATGTGCTTCTATCATTGTCGCTTTCTGTTTGTTTTAACCTACGTATTTTTTGTCGTAGGTCACAAATGCGGTCTTCGCATTCCATTTCGATTAGTGTATACGTGTTGTTCGTGAAATACGATGCCTGACGTAGTGTCGTCGGCTCGGATTTCAAAATGTGCTGATACTATTACTTGCCATTGATTAATTAATTTTTCAGACAGAATTTCGTACCTATCTATAGTCTGGTCATGGGCTAATGCGTCGTCAATTCTGTTCATTATTTGCTGAAGATCCTGTATGCGTTGCATCTGGTATTTTACTCGTGTATCTTCGTCTTCGCTGGATTCGTTAATACATGTTGTTGAGTCCTGAATGTACTATCGGGGAAATAATTATCTTTCCAGTATCGGTCGGAGTTCGCTTAAAACAGAATTCGCTGGCCACGCCTTCTGGTATTTATTGTCTATTCAATAGCGCTTTTGTTTCCCTTTAAAGAAATTTCGCCGGCCACGTGCGATCACGCCCCTTTTACTATTCGTCTTAAATATTTTCATTAATATTTTTTTTATAATATTTATAATTTGTTTTTACCATGGCATATGTATTTTTCATAGTTTATATTATGAGATTAAAAAAAGGGTTTAATTTGGTATTTTTTTTACGATTTTAAATAAATTATGAAAATTGCCTAATAATTAGTTTTATTTTCGGAGGGCGAAAAAAAAATAGCGGCTCATTGTCGTGGTCATAATAATAGTAATAATATCAACGATAATAACAATAATTGTTACTAATAATAAAACTATATATAACCTTAATAAAATTTATTAAAAATAAATAATGACAAAATTAACTAATATTTTGTCATCTCGCCTTCTGCAGCTATTACCGCATCACACCGGGATCTCATTGACAATACCAAATTTTGACATATTTGGGTGCCTCTTAAAGAATCCCAAACTCGAATGCAGTGATGTTGCAGTGCATCCCTGGTTCTTTCATTTTCATTTTCCCAGATGTTTACCATTTTGGCCCATAGATTTTCTATGGGATTTAAGTCTGGGGACCTACTTGGCCATGGCATATTAATAATATCCTGGTTTTCGTCAAACCAGGATTGCACCACACGTGCCCGATGAATGGGGGCATTATCTTGAAAATAATTTATCAGTGGGACTTCCTCACGTGGATATATAATCCGCACTGAAGGTCGAAGACATGTCTCTAAGACATCCCGATAAATTTCTCCAGTTGTTCTTCCTGGAAGTACAACAAGTTCACCGGGACCATCAGCGCTCATCCACCCCCACATGTTTAAATGAATCCTACCAGATTCTTGTGTTTTTATCGTGTGGCTTGGATCGTATCGGGTGCCATTGCGTCTCCACAAGTGAACTTTTCCAATCTGCGACGATTTAAATGTTTTTTCGTCGGAAAATATTGAATGGGAAAAGTCGAAATCACGAAATTCCCTTGCAAAGCGCACACGTGCTGCTTTGTTCTCCTCAGTTAAAGCTATTTTTCTGGCAGGAATTCGATGGTGGATACCAGCTCTATGAAGGGTATTCCTTATGGTCCGCATTGAACAACCATACTCTTGAGCCATGGTTCTGGTGGATCTGAATGGAAACTCTTCAATTTCCTCCATAATATTGTCCAATGGTTCTCCTTGAATCATTCGAGGGCGCCCAGCTCCTGGATTATGATTGATGTTTCCATCGTTGTTATATCTATTTATCCATAATCTCACAGTTGGCCTCTATAATTAAATTTTAATATTAAAATATAGAAATAAAGTAAACAATATAATAAACCAAGTCAAAAATAAAATAAATAATATAATAAACTGTAAAAAACTTACCCCGATATGCATATTTTCTGCAATTTGAGTAATAGAAAAGCCCCGGCTCTTAAGCACAAGAATTTCGGTTTTTTGTTGCGTTGATAATTTCGGCATATTAAAGGTTTTTACAAAACTCGTTAATACTATGATATAATAATCTTGGTGTTATAATTTATATATTTGGACGTTCTGGGATTAGCAAAACAAAATATACCTATACCTACCTTTAAATGAGGAAAATTATAAAATAAAACTTAATCCCCTTGTAAAAACCCAGATTTATTTTAATAATACATAAACATACTATACCTCAACGAATCTAACTGAATTATCTACCTACCTTTAAAGTAGGAAAATTATAAAATAAAACCCAGATTTATTTTAATAATACATAAAAATCCTGGGAAAATAGTAAAAATCATATTAGAATTATATAATTTTATTCATAAATAGTAGATATAAATAAATAGTAAAAGGGGCGTGAACACACGTGGCCGCCGAAATTTCTTTAAAGCGAAACAAAAGGGAAACAAAAGCGCTATTGAGACAATAAATACCCGAAGGCGTGGCCTGCGAAATCTGTTTTAAGCGAAATCGAACCGGTACTGGAAAGATAATTATTTCCCCGATCGGACAAGCGTCGGTTGTTGTGAATTATTTGCGTAAATATGTCTTCGAAATTGGCCCATTCCTCGTAATTACCTCCGAAAACTGGAATCTGGACCTGTGGTAGTTTGATTGATGTGCTTCTATCATTGTCGCTTTCTGTTTGTTTTAACCTACGTATTTTTTGTCGTAGGTCACAAATGCGGTCTTCGCATTCCATTTCGATTAGTGTATACGTGTTGTTCGTGAAATACGATGCCTGACGTAGTGTCGTCGGCTCGGATTTCAAAATGTGCTGATACTATTACTTGCCATTGATTAATTAATTTTTCAGACAGAATTTCGTACCTATCTATAGTCTGGTCATGGGCTAATGCGTCGTCAATTCTGTTCATTATTTGCTGAAGATCCTGTATGCGTTGCATCTGGTATTTTACTCGTGTATCTTCGTCTTCGCTGGATTCGTTAATACATGTTGTTGAGTCCTGAATGTACTTATAACAGTCCTGATACGATTTTTCGATTTGTTTATAATATTCTAATGTCCAATATTCATGAGATAATTCTTTGATTTTAATTATCTCGGCATGAGTTTGTTCCGCATTGGCCCAATGTTCGTTCAACGCCTCAGTGCGGCGTTTAAAGTATTCAGTTGACTTTCTTGAGGTTGAATCTTTCTTCATGTTGGTGTATAGTTGAAGGATGGCCTTCCCAGTGACCTGTTGTTTGGCCACCAGCTCGTTCATTTTTGGGTTTGTGTTCGTCATCTTAAATTGTGTCGATTTGATTATTTTCTAGATATGAAACTGCACCACTTCTGGATTGGACTGGTACAATTTTAGGTTCGAAGGACCATGAAAAGAATCGGATCTTAATTAGGATCCCGAATCTTTGTAATAATGTCCCACTAGCGGAGCGCAGCCTCACGCTCCAGTTAAGGCTTGGAAACTAGTGGGTAGTTGAGTAAAACACAATAGTCTTGTTAATACTGACTTTAATTATAAAATTGTTTCCTTATATACAAATGGGATATTTTATTTTTCATACTTATTTTACAAACATCTTAACGTTAGAAGGTTGTATTTTGTTATGTTATTGCTGACGCGGTTTGTTCGCTTAGATGACCGAAGTAGGTCAACTAAATAATAATTGTTTAATTTTAAGATTAAACAAAGGTCGTTCACTGTTTATTTTGCCCTTAATGATTGATACTGCTAAATGCTCTTTCACCTTTTCTGTAGTGTTTCGTTTAGTAAATCAATAGCATTTTTTTTCTTTGGCAGGATGTATGCTGTATGCCCCTTCCTACAGTCTGCATGCATTCTAAGCATATTTTCTTTTGGTCCCTTTTCCTCCTGTTCCTTTTGTAGTGCTTCGTCAACATTTTTTTGATTCTTTTAAAGCGTTTTTACATTCTTCAAAGTTAACAGAACAAATGTTTGGTATATGTTTTTAGTAACGTATACTATACATCTTCGATGCGTCTTCTATTAAGAAGTGTTTTTTTTTGCAGATACTAAAAGACTTTGGCAGAACTTCATCCCTTCGTTTGTAGTCATAGTTTTAAAGTCATTTTCCAAAAAAGAAAAAATTCCAAATGTTAATGGAATTATAATTATCATTGAGAGCCTGATATTTTTTTGGTCCCCTCATCAAAGCAACTTAGACATTGTTCAATTACTTTGAAGATATATAATTCATCTATGCTCAAGGGGGATGGACATTTTCTCAATTTTAGTAGAGTTCCATTTATGGCATCACTTATTTTAAGGATCCTTTGTATCATATATAAAGAACTGTTCCATCAAGTGGGTACTTCTTGAAGCAGCATCAGAGGTGCTTTTACAGGACCTGAGATCATTCGCTGTTCATCTTTTAACATTTTCGCTGCCAAGGTACTAGATTTAAAATATCGGACGATGTTTTTACACTTACTTAAAATATTTTCAATTTCGGTACTTTTTAGGTTATCTTGTGCAACTAAATTAAGTGTATGTGCGTAACATAACAAATGACGCTTCCTTAAAATATTACATGCTTTCATCATGTTTGCTGCATTATCAGAAACGATTCAAGTGATTTTCCTGTCAACATTCCATTCATCAAAAACTTCCTTTAGTGCAATATTTTCGGATGTATGACTTCTTAAATCTTTCAGTGCCAAGGCTACAGATCTCAACTTGTAATCGAGTGAATTCATTATTTCATCATCGGATGACGGAATAAACACTGGTGGCGACATCTCTGTGTTTAATATCTAACAACTATTAGACCGATTCAACCTCACTTTCTCCCAATTAAATTATTTTTGTATGGTATTTTTTGGAAACGTAGAAAAAGCATAGTCTGAAAGACATTTGGAAATATCCTAAATTGTGCATTTAAAAAGTATCATCACAAAAAATTGGGCGTGTTTTGTGTTATAATGAGGAGTTTCGCCATTTTTTGAAAATGGTTCTAAAACAAAGTTTGAACATTTATTGATATGTATTTTTTAGTTAAAAATGTTTAAAATATAAAAATAATTTACCGATGAAACACCGGGTACAGCCTAATGTTTTTTGTTTTTGTTTACGCTATCGCGGGTGTGTTTGCGCTGTCGCGCGTGAATTCGTGCTATCGCGCGGGTATTTGCGCTGTCGCGCATGTATTCGCGTTTTCGCGCGTGTATTTGCGCTATTTGAATTACTTATTTGTTACTTTTCGGGACACATGCATCGCTAATCGCGAGCGAATAACGTCGATACGTCAAATATGACATTTTTAAAAACAGCTGAAAAATTCTATTCTTGGTTTTCCGGAAATATTCCGGTTTTACACTACCGCCCGCACTAGTGTCAGTGTGCAAGCAATTGTTAAAAATTTTAGCCAGATCGGGCCAAAATGGACCGAGTTATGCCCAAAACCGCAAAAAAACGTAAATTTGGTTTAGAAAAAATGCCTTTTAAAATAATTTTCCGCAATTTTCAAAATTTTTAATTTTTGTCTTTTTGAGCTTCCAGAGGGAGTTTTACACAAATACAAAACATACCCTATTCGATGCTTTATAGTTCGTTTCAATATAATTATTATTATATACCAAAAATAAATCACCAAAAACCGTTAATTTTTACGAGGTCATATGTATGTAACCCCCCAATAAACATTTTTCTGACTTCCGACTAAACTTGCACTATGCTCGACGTCGCTTTAAGTGAAAATTGCGGTTGGGTTATAACTTTGTAATCGAAGTCGTGCCCGGACTTAAGGCATTGTGAGGTGTTACATTAGGGTGGTAATGAAACGCTGGTGGTCGGCTTGAAGGTTCGTCACTTACATTTGTAACAAAAGCGTTTTGCTGCCTATTTCGGAAATTTTGTTGTCCACGTCTACTGTTAAATGTTCCATTTCCTCTGCCTCTATAGTTGTTATTAAAACCCGTACGCGAATAATTACAATTTGAAGGATTGTTTTGCCTATTTTGATTTTTATTATTTTTATTAAAATTAAAGCGATTTGTATTATAATTTTGATTACCTCTGCTAGAATAGTGATGTCCTCTGCCATTAAATTTTTGATGACTATTACCTCTGGCATGATATACGTGTACTTTCCTATTGACATTTTCCTCATCTTTGGCTATTCTTAAAGCCTCCGCTAAATTACAACAGTTTCGGGATTTAACAATAGTTCTAGTTTCGGAATTATTCAATCCGTTAGAAAATGCATTAATAGCTATTTTCTCATTTATTTGTTGCAGGACGTTCAAGCTATCTTTATTTTCGCCTGCTTGTGTAATAGTAAGATCTACTAATAATTGTTCTACGGATTTGCCAAATTCCTCTATAGATCTATTGCCTTGTTGAGCTGTATTTAATTTAACAGACAACACACCCGCTGACTTAACTGGCAGAAAATGTTTTTTAATGTCAGCTACAAGTAACTGATTATCCGCATAATTTGATTTTAATCGAAGTTTCCCGCCTGCTGACAAACAACGTTTTAGTACATAACTAGTTAAAAGAGGTTTACCGGCAGCTTCCAGCATGGAATCATACAATTCGATTGCATCAATAAGTTCGTGTGTAGTAACATCTGTACCGTTAAAAACAGGAAGCAGTGAAGCTGCAGTTTTTAAGTTAAATTTTTCACCCATATTATTAAAATTATCTATATTTTCTATATCTATTGGATTATCCTCACTATTAGAAGTTTTATTTAGCCCATCATTTAGAATTGTTTTTGCTTTATTTATACAATCATTAATTTCTATTGCGATTTCCGCTACTACAGTAATGTCTTTTTCACTCGAATGTTTACACTGTCTATTTTTTAATTCACAAAATCCTAACTTAAACTGTTCTAGTTTTTCTAACTTACGTACGTTAGCTTCATAGTCCTTCCTTCTCTCGGCGTTTTCCTTTATTAAGTTTTTTGTAAACTTTTGTATTTCATCTAGGGAAGCTAAGAATTCGTTGATTATCGTGGACGTTGTAGACATTAAACTTTTCTACCGCACTACACTTAATTACCCCAACTGATTTTATACTACACTACACTAAACTAAACTTTCCAATTACACCATCGAAAGACGACTTCTGGCAATTTCAGCCCTGATTTTTCCCTCAACATACTTCTTGCACTTTCTTCTAACGTAATATATTCCAGCTACTAACACAACCAAACATAAGATGACTAACAAAACGTCTCTATGTAGATTTTCGCCGTTGAATGCTGAAACTCCACCACTATTTCCGGCTTGTGCAATGATAATTTCTTCTTTCGACTGTGTTTTTCCCATTTTTACTGAATAGTTCACTTATATTTCTCGCTTTTTATTTAATTACACTTTAAACTGATTTCTACTGGACTGGCAGGATCGCCATGTAATGCCCGGACTTAAGGCATTGTGAGGTGTTACATTAGGGTGGTAATGAAACGCTGGTGGTCGGCTTGAAGGTTCCTATCGAACTCTGTTTATTCAATAATAATATATTTTATTACAATTATGATGTGGTCAAATAATGCTTATTGCACAGTTTGCACTTTGCGGATTATTGACCTAAGAATGTTAAGTGTCATCATTATGTACAGTGAATGAACTATGTCTCTGCACTACACATTGTTCGACGTCGGTTTAACGTAATTTTGTAGTACGCAGTTCGTAGTCGGCATTAGAGACGTTTGTTCCGACGTCGTTAATTGGAAAGTAATTTCTAGTAAAATTTCCGACGTCTAAATTTTGGTTGGGATAAGGTTTTTTAGTGGAAAGTGTTTCCTTGTTTCTTAAGTAAATTTTTTTGACTTATATTTACGTCGGTTGAACGTCAAGTCGTAACTATCTCTTTGGTTAAAAAAAAATTACGAGAATTGTTCGACGGGAATATAGTGTACCGTAACAGTTTTGGATAAGCCGTACGTCTCAGGGGGGAAAGTTCGTTGAGGAAAAGATTTGTAAGGCCCAGATAAGCCTCGGTGGTGTAGTAGTTAGCACTGCGGACTACAAGCCGAGAGGTCGTGGGTTCGAATCCCACCAGGGGTATGGCTGTGTATTTGTATTTGTGTTTGTGTACTTCTGTAATTGGGCCTGTTGAAGGCACATTAAAAATAATAAAATAAAATAAATAAAATAATGTTCTTTATTGATCGTAATAAATTGTTTTTTTTTAAATATGAGTGGAATAAGACACGTGTTTTTGTTAATTATCCTCATACATCCAAATAAATCATTACAGCAATAACTTACCTAAAAATATGAGCAGACACG